GCCCAGCTAGGACCCCCCCAGACCCTCCTTGCATCACCCCAAGGAACCCAGTGTCGCCATGGAGACCGCCCAGTGAGATTTGCATAGCAGAGCCGCCAAATAACAACAACAACGAGGCATAATTGGCTGGGAGCCGCAAAGGGGGGTGGGGGGTTGGGGGGTCCCCCCGTCCAGGCGGGACACAAAGGAAAGAAAGCTGGCGGAGAGGGGCCGAGGGGGCCCAGATGCCGGGGTTCAGCCCCAGCTCAGGAGGTGGGAGCCTGGACGCCCGGGTTCCCAGCTGGGCTCCAGGGGTGCGGGGGCTGGACGCCTGGCTCCTGCCTGTCGGAGCCAAGGCTGCTGCTAACAAAGGCCCCAGGGCCTGCCTCTGCAGCCAGCACTGACCCCACTGCCCGCCTGGGAGCCAGGAGCCCCCTATACCCTCCCGTCACACCGCAGCAACAGCTCTGGGCTGCTGCTAGGTGCCACGTGGGCACATGGAGGGGCTGGTGCCCCACTGTGTCAGCTTGTGTCCCCCACCCCTGGTTTCTATGGTGACTGCCACCACCTAGCCACCTGGGATCACCAAGGTCACAACCAGCAAGAAGGTCACTGCCACCCCTCCACAGCCCTACTAGTGCCCCTCACTGTCGACCCACAGCCCCCTGCCCCCCAGCCCTGTTCGTGCCCCTCACTCCCAACCTGTGCCCCACTCTGTCAGGGTGGCGCTACCACACCCATGCTGGGGGACTTGAGTGGGGGTAGACAGGTTAACGGGGAGGGTGGACGGAGCAAGCCCAGAGGAAGCCAGCAGGATTCTTGGCATATTTCATGCCCCCCACAATGGACCCATTTTACCAGCTCAGCCCCCCCCCCATGCACACGCAGAGGAGCTCCCTGCATGGGGAGTTATGGGGGGGATTCCCGCTTACAGATCCTACCTCCACCCCCGCAACCAGGTCCTCAACCAGAGAAGACAGGAATAGGATCCAGGCGTCCAGGACGGCCCCCCTCACCCCATACTCCAACCCACACAGAAGAGTGTCCATGCAAAGCCTGAACCTCACTGCCCCTCCCAGCTGCTGGTGCCCTTCACTCCCAACCCGCAGCCCCTGCCCGCCCCAGTGCCCCTCATTCTCGACCCGCAGCTCCCCCTGACAGCAGTGGCAGGCCCCCACCCGCCCCGGGCCCCGGAGGCCAAGCCTGTGGCGCAGAGGGGAAAGGAGGGCACTGCCGCAGAGGAAGCCCACCGTGTGGCGCTGGCTCCCATCTGCCAGCCCTGGGGCTGACAGAGCCAGATGGCCGCAGTAGTGCCAGGGCCACAAGCACCAGAGCAGCCCCTGAGCCTCCTGGCATGGGGTGGGGCAGATTTGGGGGCTGGGGTGACCCATGCATTCCTGTCAGGCCAATGCAGCCCACAGAGACGCCAGCCCCATGGGCACAAGGGGCCTTTGTTTGGCTGCTGACTCACGCCAGCCCCGCTGCAGCCCACCCCCAGCACTCAGATGCCTGGGTTCCTCGGCCTGCTCTCCACACCTCGGTCCTGGCTGGTGCCCCTCACTTCCAGCCTGCCCCCCCGCCCCCCAACAGCTGCTCCATGCTGATTATCTCGGCTGAGGGGGGTCGTGGGGGGGATTATGGCGGATCAGCAGCTGTAATGAAACGGGGTTGGCACCCCTGAGAACCCAGGCATCCTGGTCCTACTGCACCCACCGGCCCAGAACGCCTGGGTTCTCTCCCAGTATGGTGGGGGGCAGAGGTCTGGTGGGCTAGGATGGGGGGCAGCGGTAGGGGGACAGACTCCTGGGCTTGGCCCTGGGAGTGAGGTGGGGGGAAAGCACTTCCAGGGCCAACAATGGCCCTTTCTGCAGCAGCAGCAGCACAGAGTCAACTCTCAGCCCCAAGTCTCCGGCACCGCCTGGTACCAGCCCTGCACACGCGGCGCACCCCTCCCCAGACCCAGCCACATCCCAGGCCGGTTACATCCAGCCCTGACACCCACCCCAGATCCAGCTGTATCCTAGGCCTGCAATACCAGCCCCAATGCCCACCCCAGAGCCAGCCGCATTGCAGGCCTGTGATACCCACCCACCCTGATGCCTACCCCAGAGCCAGCTGCATCCCAGCTTGCGATACCCGCTCCAATGCCTACCCCAGAGCCAGCTGCATTCCAGGCCTGAGATAACAGCCCTGACACCCACCCCAGAGCCACCCACTTCCCAGAGACCCTGCTACACCCAGCCCTGATGCCCACCCCAGGGGCCCTGTTATACCCCGCCCCAATGCCCCACCCCAGAGCCTGCTGCATCTGCTGGTAGCCAAGGGCCGAGCTGAGCACTGGCCAGTTTCCGTCAGACCCTGTGCCCTCCGTGCTGGCAGGCGTGCGTCTTTCCCAGCCACACTCCAAAAGTTTATTTAATTAATCCCCAAGCGTGAAGGAGTCGGTGCAGGGGTGGGCACGTGAGCAGGAGCCACATGTGGAGCAGGGCAGGGGCCAGGTGTGGGGGCTGTGGGCACCAGCCCAGTGCCCGGCTCATCACTAGGGGTAATTGGGAGCACAAGGGCGCCAGCCAGCCCCACATGCCTGCTTCCAGCAGGCACTGTGCCACAGGAAGGCTGGGAAGCTCCTGTGGGCAGAGGACAGCCCCCAGGCTCCCCCCTGCCCACTGCAAAGCCCCAGGGAGAGAACCCAGGCATCCAGGCTCCCAGCCTCCCTACTGCAACCCACCAGACCCCACTCCTCACCCAGAGCTGGAGGGAACTCAGGTGTCCAGGCTGCCAGGGCAGGCACTTACCTCTGTCCTGCCCTGATGCCTGCCCCAGAACCAGCCACATCCCAGCGTGTGGTTCCAGCCCCAATGCCCATCCCAGAGCCAGCCGCACCTCAGGCCCTGTGATACCCGCCCTGATGCCCACCCCAGAGCCAGCTGCATCCCAGGCCTGTGACATCAGGCCTACACTCCACCCCAGAACCGGCTGCATCTCAGGCCCCTGGAGAGGTGTTTGTGGTCAGTTCTTTGCAAAACATGTTTGCTAGATGCTACCCAAGTGCCCCTCCAAGATGCGTCCCCTGCCTGGGTCCAAGGGTTAGGCAGCCGCGGGGGCAAACTGGTTGGTGACAGGTCGTCCCCAGGGACAGGTCCCCAGGCAGGTGCCAGGGCAAGCAATGAAGACAAGGAGCAGGTGGCCAGCTGGAGCCCAGACCCCTTGTCTTCAGTGTGCAGAGGGTCATGGGGATACAGGGGCTGGGCGCCTGGACACCTGTGTCCTAGCCAGTATGTGGAGAGTTATGGGGTCCCACATGCTGCCAAAGGGCCTATGCAGGGGAGTTTGTTGCTCCCCACAAGCCACGTGGCAGAGCCAAGGCCTGCCCCCATCACAGCCCCGTGTGGCCAGCACCCAGAGCAGGATGCAACCCCCCCACCCCCACAAGCTCCAGCATTTCTATGGGGTGAGGACAGGAGGGGTCCCTGGATGAGAGCAGAGCCTGCCAGTGCTCCCTGGGGGCTCAATGCCAGGAGCTGGTGGCACAGGCCGGGGAGCGGGGGTTGATCTGACTCAGGCCCCACCACCCCCTGCCCCGCCCCCAGCCAGCCCTGGTGCCCCCAACCCAGTGCCATGGCACTGAGGATGGGGTCAGGGTCCCTCCTGGCCCAGCCAGGCGGCCCGGCTCCAGGCGACCTTGCTCCCCCCACACCCGCTGCCAAGGGGTTTTATTTGGCTGTGAATGGAAGGCGAAGGCGGGAGTGAGCTGCATACGCAATGAGCCTGGAGCCAGCCCAGAGCCAGCCCTTCCCTGCAGAGCTGGGGGAGCTGAGATGGGCTGCTGGAGGGGCAAGGACTGGCAGGGGGGGGGGGGGGGGGCTGGGGGCCTGCTGCCCCCCCCCGAAAATGGAGCCGTGACCCAGGGGAGATGGAGCCCTCTGCCCTAGCACTGCCAGGAAGGATGGAGAGCAATGCAGCCCCACTCCAGGCATGGGCAAGAGGAGGGAGGCCCTCAGCCCTGCTGGGTGGTTGGGTGGGTCCTGGGTCTCTCCCAGGCCAGAGGTGACCTTGGCACATCCTCACCTCTCTGCCTCAGTTTTCCTACCCAGAAGGGCTCTGAGCCCCCCAGAGCAGCGGGGTTGGGGGTCCAAACTCCGGCCCAGCGAGGCGCACTAAGGATAGGACAGGCCTGGGGGTGTCTCAGGTGCTGAGCTGGGAGCCCAGACTCCTGGGTCCTGTCCCCAACTCCAGGAAGGCTGAAGAAAGGGGCTGGTAACCTGGATGCCTGGGCTCTCTCCCAGTTAAGAGAGGGGAGTGGGGTCCACCTGGTTTGAGGAGCCAGGACTTCTGGGTCCCATTCCCAGTACAACTGGGGACCCCTTCCCACTCAGCCTGGGGTGGGTTGGGGGGCACTGAGGACTCTTGCCGCAGCTCCAAAGGGGGAGCACATGGGGGTAAGCTCCACAGCCAGGGGCTGCCCACGGGGAGGGGGCTGCCCCTTCACCCCTCCCTGCCCACACTGGCATAGAGAAGTAGGCACAGACCAGGCATTTGCATAAAAGGCCCTGTGTGCAGGACTTTTTACCCCTTCCCTGGGGGATGCCCTGGCCCCCTGCTCCCCCCACA